ATCTATCATTTTGCCAGATTTCCTTTGTGAATGGCCCCTAATATATATGCATGTTAACTATATTATGACACTGACAAATTCACTAAAAAATAGAGTACTGTAACCAACCTCCGGTCTACACACTTTTCCATTGTTGTTGACATATTTTCGAAATGTTCCTTCCACAAATTCTTCTACAGTTGCAAGTTGCCCTTGGTAAACCGTGTAGTAAGCTCGGTTAAAAGTGAAGCATTCACCAAATTCTTGTGGGACTTTGTTGCTATTGTATTGACAGCTAGCCCTTTCATGGTACTTCTTGATTACCCATTTTTCTTTATCTTTTGTCACTCCAAGAAATGCATCCCTGAATCCACCAGAAGAAAATTTCCCTGCATCCACCAATAAATCAAGAGAGTTTTCTAAAGACACCCATTCTTGCTCATCAAGATGGAACTTTTCTAATCTTAATGATACTTGATTCTTCACGTACCTTAGGTTTTACAAGTTGTCCAGCTTTTAGCAACAATTCTATTGAAACAGAATTTGGATAGCGAGTTTCCTCAGTGTCTGGTGTCTTACTGACATTTATTGGCCGAGAAAACACCACATCCTTAGGCTCTGAAACCTCTGGGCTATCTGGATACCCATCACCTAATTGTTTGGTGACCATAAACTGCACAAGGTAAACCTGATAGAAGGAAAATGATAATATTAATTAAATGTCATGAAAATTATTAACCACATAATTTAATGCTTCAACACCATTATTCTACAAGTGAATCTCCATATGAAAGATAGAGGGAACAAATACAACATGGATGAAAATGCCCTCAACTCAATTTCCACCTCACAAGTCCTTTAGATACTATTATTTTGCCCTTTCTGGTGACCCCCTCTCTCTTGATAAAACAGTGATGTAGGCAGGATTTATAGTCAGGGGGGAACCAGGAGGGCCCAAGCAATTTTTGAATTCTAGATTCGGTAAAGTGCAATTTTCAATGTGCTATTTAACACATAACAACTCTACTTTAATAATCACAAACGAATCCAGAGCATTAAAAGCATAGAAATATTGAATTTCCATTACAAGAAATGAAAATATAATGTACATGCTTGTACTGGTCAGAATCTTCCCAAGGGGCCCCAATATTTTACAGGGGGGGGGGGGGCACACCCCCACCCGCCCTCTGGCTAGTACATCACTGTGATAGAATATATCATATGTTTTATAATTTCCTTCTTGATATTTCCATGTTGTACTTGCAGTGCTAACAGAAAAAATTGTGTAAAGCATTTCTCAATTCCCATTAGAGTCCAAAGCCCTTGGGGTTGGGTGTGATGGTGCGCATGTGAAACAAAATACAAAAAAGCCTTTTATACCTTGTCCTTCCTGTGCGGAATTTGGTTAATATTCGTACAAGAAGGCCCTTTATTCGTTACCAATACGTCGCACGAGCTCGCGGGAAGGTGAAAATGAGCTGCACAAGCTTTTTTAAGATTTGTTAGGGTCAAATCCTCACATTCGTAGGCCACAAACTCTTGTGGTTGGACTGCTTTGTATGTTTGCTTGTGATCTGGTTTGGCTGCCAGACGCTGCACGATTAGTTCATGCGGTGCGGAACCAGTCTTCTTTACTCGTTGATCCGTGCTTCGCTTGCTTTTCATTTTGTTGTGCAGTTCAGCCAGTGAGACCATGCTTGATTTCTTTTAGGAGGCATTACGATGTAAATAGGTTAAGTAAATGTCGACTCTTTGTTGTAAAATTTCTGTGTTTGCATAAACGCGACACAATGGCGGAAAGTGGGGGGAATTATTGAAAATATAGGTGCGCCCACTGGGTGCGTCCCGGTCAGCGGTGAGCTATATGTACCGTATTCATGTCATGGGACTATATTGGATCCACCAATATTACAACATGAAGTACATCGTATTCATCGAGGGGTATCGCAGGCTATGAGAACAACCGGCCGCTTACAACATTTCATTTTGTGAAATATTTTCTAATGAGAACAACCGGCCAGGGCACGACGGATTGCTTTCATAGTGAAATCGCAAATCAATTTCAAAGTTCACCATACAAATGTTTTTCAATTTCTATATTTTAAAATTTAATTTTGATCTGAAGATTTAAATTTATTTTTTGTTTTACTTTCAAAGTTTTAAATATTTTATTAGGTTTATTAATTTATTTTTATATTTATTTTAATGTATTTTTATATTTCTTTTTAAATATATTTTTACTTTCAAAACATTTATTTGTATTTTATTTAGAATGTAAAATTTTAAATATTTTATTAGTTTATTAATTTGTTTTTATATTTATTTTAATGTATTTTTATATTTCTTTTTAAATATATTCAATTTATCATAATTTCTCCTATGAGAACGACCGGCCACCATAAACAAGTTCTTTTGATGCTTTAGTCCCATGGTTTACTGTAGTTCAGGTTTCTGTCTGTGGATATGTAAAGCTTCATTATATTATTGAAAAATCTCTGCACAAAATTTATTTTTTCAAACTTTTTTGGTGCATGAATTTTTTTCTTTCTTTCTGTTTCCCCTGCTCGATTTTTATTTCCCTCCGTATTTATTTGAGCCCGTAGTGATTGACAATTACACTGTTGCAGATTTATTGCAATTATGTAGTTACTAAATTAATACATACCACTCTTCCTTGGAAATGGCATGAAGCATTTAATATTTGTTACAAGCACTCAGTGTTACCACCCCCCCCCCCCCTCAGAAAGTTTAATAGATGCACTCATTCACTGAATGCTCCTGCACAGGGGCACCGCAATTTGATGCCCATCTCAAAAGCAATTATCAGTTTTGATGACAATTGAAAGCAATTAACTGTGTATGTTACAAAAACATTAAATTCATTGATATTCTTCTTGCAAAAAAAATTAACATATTCAAATATTAGTTAATTAATAAATTACTTGAACCTGTGAACATAATTAACAACAACAATACTATGCAAATGTTGTTGTAAGCAGATTCAAGCAGTGGGAACACCTGTTTTGTAACCTGATATCACTTCAATTTTTAAAACATAATGTGGGGAAGTTCTACACTGCATTCTTTTCCCTTACAAGCATTATGGAACATGTTTTTACATTATAGACAATACTAATACGATATATCATATCATTTCACGGTTCAAGAAGCCAGAAAGCAATAACGTTTTGTTCATGCAGGGAACAAATTAAATTTGACGTGCTACGAGATAAGCTGAACGCCTGAACATATCGGCAGACAAAAATATTCATCTCATGTCAATAACCAATCACATCCATATGTCAAACAACATTCACTTCCATATAAGGTTAAGCTCTCAGCCAAAATACTCACAAAACTAAACTATGTTGTTGATATATAACATTCAAACTAACAAGAATGACTCAAGTTTGTCAAAAGCTAAACAAAAATATCAGTCGTGAGATTTTGTAATGCTACATTGCAAAATCAGCAATTGAAATATTAACTTTTGAACTCAAGATATTGCAGTTCGTGTGAATAGCGAGAAAATAAGATTATCCATTCATTTAAAGTGTAAAATAAAATGGCATTGACTATAGGGGTCGAACAGTCAAGACATGATCTTTTAATTAAATAACTGTAGCAAAGGCCCGCTAAATCGCATTGTTGTAGTAGTCTTTTATCTTCAAAAAGGGAAAATATTAAACGCCGCTAGTCGCCAGTCATAACAACATTAGTAAAAGTATATTAAAATCGTTTCTCGTAGAATTTATACTGTACTTTTTCGTTTTTACAAGCCAACACCCAGTGGTAGCAAGAGTAGGGTGCCGGAGAAATTATCAACACTGATTCGACAGGATATTTATAAGCAAAATGTAATATTTTAATTTTATAAACATGATCTTTGAATGACACCAATTGAGCTGTGTTTAATACTTGGTATTCATGCGCGTGCACACGTTTTATGAAGATTGCCTATACATTATGCTAAACTGTGATTGAATTTGACTAATTGCGACATATATCTTCGTCACGTTCGACACAAAATAATAACAAATCCATCATTGTGAGAAGTGGATCGGACACACTATATACAGCAACGAACGCACAGCACAGGATAAATCTTTAACTCTAATCTCTAGAATTCTAATGCCTTTAAATTAAATTGCTCCCAACAGTGCATAATACATTGTATAAAACTTTAAAATCATTAAGATCTACAAAAGATGATATAACCGAATAAGGTTTCGCGTAAAACAATAAAAGTCTACGATAATACAATATCATCTTACTCAATATTGTAATACAATGAGCGAGCTTTAAATTCTTTTGCATATAGCCTGCAGATACTCTTTCTCACGACGATATATAAAGACTATATAACACTTACTGTCTCACTCCTTCTTTTTAACTTGAACGTTGGAAAGATCAAGGTGTCAAAGTCAGCCATTGCACTAAACACAGTGCTCGGCTTCAATGCTCAACAACCGTGTCCACGACTTGTCTGGTTGTTGTACACTTGTCAGGAGGGGGAGGGGGACGAAGACTTGCAAAGACCGGATGAGGCAGTTGGGCCCGACAGGAAAACCATACATAGGTCAAATAATAATGGGGCAACATTTGGTAATATAATCGCCATATCATATGATATATTTCAAATATTTCCTGAATGCAATTTTATAATCCTAGACCTAGTGTATAGTATTATATACACAACTGACGGTAACCTCGTTCAGTCGTTCCCAATATCAATTAGAAAGCAGCTAACAATGACGAAACGTGGAAATGAGCACGTAATTGGGTCAAAAGTAAAAGGCTTCCCTTCACAGAATTGTGTAGAAGTATAAACTTTTGCATTCAGTTCATGTGGCTAAAAGGCAGCACTTTCCTTGCGATAGTAACCAATATCAATGAGAAAGCATTGTGACACAAGCAGCATCACCAGTGGCGTGCTGGCAGGGGGGGCCGGGGGGCCACGCCCCCCCCCCCCAGCTGGCAATTCTTGGGGGGCGCAAAAATGAAAAAGGGGCGCCGAATTTTGAAAGTGGGTGGGAAAAACGCATTCTCGAAAAAATATGGTTACTTCCGCCAAGAAAAGACGTGTTTATAGGTTAGCATTGCATAATTTAAGTACTACTACTAAATTCTAACCAATTTGCAAATTTCGACACGTTAGAATGCCGTTTCCTGACCATCAGATTTCTGTCAAATCTTCCCCCAAAGTCCAGGAAATGGCATTTCAGAGACTCTAAA